GAGGTAGAATTTGCATTGAAGAAATGAAATTAGGCAAGGCTTTAGGACCGGATGAGATTCCAATTGAAGTTTGGAAGTGCTTAGGGAATGATGGGGTGTTGTGGCTAACGAAATTATTCAATAGAATTATTGGTACTAAAAAAATGCCAAATGAATGGAGAAAGAGTATTTTAGTACCTATCTATAAAAATAAAAGAGATATTCAAAATTGTAATAAATATAGAGGGATAAAATTGATAAGTCATACAATGAAACTATGAAAAATGGTCATTGAACGTCGCCTAAGAGTTGAGACTACAGTCTCGAAAATCAGTTTGGGTTTATGCCTAATAGATCAATTACAGAAGCTATATATTTATTGAGGACACTCATAGAAAAATATAGAGAGAAGAAGAAAAATCTCCATATGGTATTTATAGATTTAGAAAAGGGGTATGCTAAAGTGTCTAGAAATAATACGTAGAGGTTTGAGAGAAAAAGAGTAATGAATAGATATATTGAGGTGATAAAGGATATGTATGACGGAGTTATAACTACAATTAGATCTTCTGTAAGAGAAGTAAAGAGTTTCCAATCACGGTGGGATTACACCAAGGATTGACCCTAAGTCCATACCTACCTCACTAGGCCCATTCAAGATGATGTCCCACGACATATAGTATTTACAGATGATATTGTATTAGTAGATGAAACTCGAAGGGGGATTAACAATAAGCTAAAAATTTGGAGAGAGATATTCGAGTCTAAAGGGTTTAAAATAAGTATGAGTAAAACTGAATATATGCAATGCAATTTTAATAATAGAAGAAGTAGACATAGTGAAAAAGTTAAGATTGAAAATCAAGAAATACCAATGAATAAACGATTTAAATATTCTAGGATTGATCATTAAAAATGATGAAGAGATTGGAGATGATGTAACTCATAGAATTAACGCCAGTTGGCTTAAGTGGAGAAAAACCTCAGGCATATTAGGTGATAGAAAGATACCAATAAAATTGAAAGGTAAGTTTTATCTAACAACTATAAGGATAGCAATGTTGTATGGGACAAAATATTGGGTTACTGGAAACAACATAGTGACAAAATGAGTAGCGAAAATGAGAATGTTATGGTAGATGTGTGAAAAAACTAGAAAGCATAGAATACGAAATAATCCTATTAGATAAATGGTAGGAGTAGCTCAGGCACTGGTTCGAAAAAGTTATAGAATTTCTCTTAATAGTACTAAAAGTAAGGATAATTCTAAATTAACATTGAAAAAAATAATAAAAAAATATTTAACTTAAATGAGTGTATAGCACATGATAGAAATGAATGGCGAAGACAAACTCATATAGCCGACCTAAAATGATTGGGACATAAGTCTTGGATTGGTTTGGTTTGGTTACAAATATTGCAGCGATGCTATGCTTGCTGCGAGAGAGTGGTATGACAATGCTGAGTTGGAGAAGAGTTTGGAGGATTCATTATATTGCTGTGATATTGATAACGAGAGAAAGATACAGACTGATGAGGTATATGGTGATATTGCGAGAATGTTTACCGATGATAAGTTGATATCTGTTCAAGAAGAAGGTAATATGATACTCCATCACGAATCTAAGGTAATTTGCAATGCTTTTCCTTGTACTTTAGAAGGTAATATTTCCCAAAAAAAACCACTGATGGTTTCTCCTAGGGTTGTTCTTTTTTCTGGGGACGGGCGTGTCAATGTCGGTGTTCATTTTGGTGATTTTAATTTTTCAAGGGTGGGAGTGTCAATATCCGTATTGGTTCTGGGTCTGATTGTGTTGCTGGAATGACATGGAATTAAGTGAGAAAATGGCGATGTTATCTTCAGTGAAGTATGGGTATAGGAAAGAATTGGTTTCCACAAACTGTGATGTAGCTAATTCAGGTCCATGGGGAGAATAGACATTTGCGGTGTCTGTGTGAACCTGGTTTATTAGGTGTTCCACTTATTACTACCTGTGATCCAATATATTCAAAATTGATGATAGATATCCCATAATTAATGTTGGTCCAATGAACTCTGATGTAGTGACAACTAGAGCTATAGTGAGCTTTGAGGGTGAAAGGAGTACAGAGGGAATCGAGGAAGGAGATAGGGATAATAATGAATGTGTTTTGTCGGATGAGGGAAAATGGGTTGTTTTAAAGAATTTTTTATATAAAATGGATTTGTCTCTAGTTCCATCAAAAAAAGGGGGGGGGGAGCAAAAAAAATAATGTACTGAGCTTTGAGGGTGAACTCTGATGCCGTGACAACTGGGGGAAATAGTGAGCTTTAAGGGTGAAAGGAATAGAGAGGGAATAGATGACAGATGTAGGGCTAATATAATGAATGTGTTTTGTCGGACGAGGAAAAATGGGTTGTGTTAAAGAATTTTTTATATAAAATGGATTTGTCTCTAGTTCCATAAAAAAACAAGGGAAGCAAAAAAATGAATGCAGAAATGAGAGGAAGAGAAAGGGAGTGGGAGAGTTAAAAAATTTAGAGTTAGGGATAAATTATGAGGGTGATAGTTGTAAGAAAGGTGGGGGAGGGATCTATATAGTTTCTTATAAAGATTGTTAAGTTGGAATGCCAGAGGATTAGGGTCATGTGCGAAAAGGTTTTCAATAGAGGAGTTTTTGGGAAGAATTGGGACAGATATAGTTACTTTACAAGAAACAAAGTTGGAGGTCATTGATAAGAGTCTTTAGTAGTGTTTGTGGTCTAGGTTCTAGAACTGGGTTTTTCTATTTTTTGTCGGAGTACACGTGGTATTGTCATCATTCGGGACAAGAGATCTATAAGCATGGAAGAAACTCTTGAGTGGGAATTTACTGTTTCAATTAGAGTTAAGCAGGGAGGGCTATGGCTGGTGGTTTACTGGTATTTATGGGCCTAACAAGCCTAGGATTAGGGTCTCATTGTGGGAAAAATTAGTAGGGCTATATGGGGTGTGTGGTCATAGATGGTGTATAGGGGGATATTTTAATGTTACAAGGTATCCAAGGGAGAGGATGAATGGGGGGGAGAACAACAAAAAGTATTGAAAGATTTTGATTCTTTTATTAGGGAAACCAAGCTTAGGGATGCTACTTCTTGCTCCAGCATGAAAGTTCCATTTTCAAGGAAGGACAACGTCCTATGATACTTTCTGTTTTGTCGAGCCCTGCTTTGGTCTTTGGTTTGATGGTTGTATGTGCTAAAAATCCGGTACATTCAGTTTTGCTTCCTATCCCAGTCTTTTGCAACACTTCATGTTTACTTCTTTTGTTAGGTCCCCCTTTGGCAAATGGAGTGTTTACATGATCTAATGGTAGGACAGTTAAGCTGTGTAAAAAGTTGGATAGATTTTTATAGTCTATAGGGTGGGAAGATTGTTTTCGTGGGATGAGACAGAAGGCATTGTAGTTTAAATGGGGTCCTTGATTGTTTAGGTATGAGAATATGTGGGTGGAACATAGAGAGTTGAAGGAAAGAATAAGATAATGGTGGGGAGAGGAAAGGGTACTGGGGTGACAAGAATTTTGATTTATGAACAAACTTGAGATAATAAAACATAGATTGAGAGAGTGGAATAAAGAGGTATGTTGGGACATTCGAGAAGCAAAAAGAATTATTTTGGATAGGATTGATGAGGCGAATAAGGTTGAAGGAGGAGGGGGTTTCGAAGAAGCGTTAAAAAGAGAGGAGAGAGCTTAGTGGGTAAAAGAAAGAGATAATACTAAATTTTTTCATAAGGCGGCGAATGGAAACAGAATGAGGAATGGAGCCTGACGATGGGTCGGTAATTGAGGATGATGGTAGTATTGAGAGGGAAATTATTAGGTTTTTTGAGAAGCTTTATTCGGATCAGATCAAGAGGGTGCTAGATTTAAGTTAAGGGGTCCTGAATGGAGTCTTATAGATGAAAGGGTTGCAGAGTGGATGGAAAGGCCTGTTCAGATGGAGAACGTGAGGAGAGCTATTTTTGACTGTAGTAGAAAAAAGGCACCAGATCCGGATGGATTCACCATGGCAATGTATTAGGTTTGTTGGGATGAAATAAAGGAAGATTTGATGAGGGTGTCTGAGGAGTTTTTCAAAAAGGGGGTGATTAATAAAGTTTCCCCTATTCAACAAGATTCTACAGACTATCTTTCCCCTATTCAATAGGATTAAGGTATATGAGTTCTTTAAGTCAGTTGTAAGAGAATAAAGAAAGAACAATGCATTTCTCTACTTTGTCTCACTATTGATGGGAATCTCTTTAAGCAAACCTTGGTTTGTATGAATATCTTATTTAATGACAAATAATGGTAACTGAAGTTCGCCGCAGTGTCATGCTTGTGTGCTGGGAAATTAGAATATAAAATTCAATTTATTCATGGTTTTTGAGTTCCTGAACAACCAAAATATGATGAAAAATGGTAATGGTTCCAAAGTAGATTGTTTAACAAGTTATTAACTTGAAGTTTAGCCTCATTTATTGCCTGTCAGATTAATAGCTTATGGAATCTACCAACCTCTTGTTTAATTGTTGTTTGAATCAGTAGCATGGCAGTTGTTGGGTGTGTAGCTTGAGTACATGGCTTTCAGGGTCAGTGGTAATGTATTTTCGATTATCTTGGATGTTTGTGGCAAACTAGTTTTAGGTACTATGCTATTCTTTTCACTCGGACTAGCAGGTGTGCAAAATGCCTGTTTCAGCGACATTGACAAAGAAATAAGTGATTAGGATGATTCTGTGGCCTAAAAAAACTAAATCCCCTTACTCCCACCAACCCGACAACCAAAAAGTAATAAAAAACGATCTTGATATAATTTTTATATATACAAGCTTGTTAACTCACTTTAGACACTTTGCATGTATGCAAATTCCCACTATCACTTTAGACTATTTGCATTTATGAGTCTTTGTAGCAGTTGTTTATATTCTTATTACAGAAAATTTAGACTTTCAGTCTTCCTTGGGTTTCTTGCCCTAGAAATTCATATACTCTTGTTTCATTATAATGCTTTTTCTTGTTATCTTATTGTTGGAAATACATCAAAAGGTGTTGATTCTCACTTAAAATTGCAAATTACAGCAGATCTGAGAATTTTGCTGCATCAAAATCACAAACAAGATAAAATCACAGCAACTGGTCGTGATTGATTGTGTGTGCGTGTCTGTGTGGGTGGGTGGGTGAGTGAGTGTGTGAGCCAGCGAGTGAGTGATAGAGAGACCAAGCTTTTGCCTGCTTGCCTGGACCGAGAGTGTGGGGAATTAGGGCAAGGTCCCAGCTGAAAATTTGAAATAATAAATGTGAATTGGGTTAGCCCAATAACAAAATGCATCTCACCAACGAGTCCAATTATTTGGTTTGGTAAAATTGCTATTCAGATCAGGATCTAAAAGATCTGGATCACCATCCTATAAATTAGCATGAGACATGGATCAATTTGCAATTGTATGAGCTTAAGATCCTAATTTTTATAACTATATTCCTATTCTAACAAAATAATCTGTAATAATAATAATAATAATAAACAATATTATATGATATATTAAATATTGACGTAACAATAAGGTTGCTTCATTGTGACTTGGATCACAGGTTTGAGTCCCGCAAATAATATCTTTGCTTACAAAATTTAGACTGAATATATAACTCTCTTCAAACCTTGCAATGGCGAGAACCTCATGCACTGGATACACCATCTATAAGATATACAAAATCTTGTTCTGCATCATTTTCCTTTCACTTTAGAAAAACTTAAACTCGTCTCAACATTTCTGTTGCTTAAAACAACTTTGTAAGTCTACATTTGTCTGCAGTAGTTTTACACTCTTCAAACACCAACTTATTGCCGCTACTTTCAATCTTCTGTGCGTCATCTAAAATTCATAGTTATACAAGGAAATACTTTCGTAGTAAAAGCACAATCTATATTGAAACTAGCACCATCTTCCTTCAGGTTCTTCAATGTCCAATTGCTTAGAACAAAAAATATGTTGAGGAAGGTCTAGCCCAGCTATTGCAACATTATCATCATCTAAGATATTGCCACTGGACTTGTTTTTGGGTCAATAACTTATACTAGAGCTTGAACTTGATATCAGTCCCAGTCAAAGTCTACATCAACGCCAGTGTCATTGCAATTAGACTCTTCTTAATAGCAAGTCCCAGTCCAAAGTCTTTAGCTACATTGCCTTGAATTCATTGGGGTGAAGTGGTGCAAGATGCCACCAAGACACGTCCATTTCTGCGCCCAAGTCAATTGGAGTTTGAAAACTAGTATAAGTATCCGTTTTTCATAACTAGTAAATTTAAAAATCATCTACAATAAGATAATTAAATTAAGTTCTTTACTACCAGCGAAAATTTTCAAACGACCACCACAATTATTAAGAAAACACATTATTAATATTTGAAAATACAAACTAAAACATATACTTAAAGATATTAAAAAGGAACAGTCATGTAGACATGCCAGAAGCCAACGTGCATGCTCTTCAAATGTATGTGTAGAGTTGTGTCACAGAGGGGTCAAAGACCTTAAATGATGACTAGTAGGCCAATTACAGTAAAGAACAAACCATATTTCTACCCCCTCCTCCCCAATTAAATAAAAACTATCGTATGCACTAAAATATATTCAAAAGAAATAGTCACACAGACATCCAAGAAAATGAACTCGTATTCCCTACGAAGGTATGCACACATGTCCTCACTTTCCAAAGCTCTAAAGTTGTG